GGACTCTCCCTAAGCATCAGAACTGGTGCGGACAAGGGGAATCCAATTGTTTATTTAAAACAAAGCATTGCGATGGTCCAAACGGATGTTGACGCAATGTAAGTTCTGCCAAGTGCTCTGAATGTCAAAGTGAAGAGATTCAACCAAGCGCGGGTAAACGGCGGGAGTAACTATGAATCTCTTAAGGTAGCCAAATGCCTCGTCATCTAATTAGTGACGCGCATGAATGGATTAACGAGATCCCCATTGTCCCTATCTACCATCCTGCGAAACCACAGCCAAGGGAACGGGCTTGGAAAAATCGGCGCGGAAGGTGCTGAGGTTGTGAGGAATCCAATGATGCTCCCTTCCCATTTCGAGAGCATCGATAGCCTAAAGTGGAAGGGAATTGAAGAGCATTCCGAGCGGGCCTGTGGGGGCCGCAACCTAGAGTGGTCCGTTTCGCTCCGACCTGTTGTTGCCCTCCAACACCCGTTTGTGGGTGGTGGTCTTCGTTTCCCAGAAAACGGCACGTAAGGTCATCCCTTCGGTTTGTGTGGTCACCGCCTTCCGTTCGCTCCCATCAGCTTGAGGTGGGCTTGCGGTTGGGGGTGTCGGCCTCGAGCTGTGGAGGTACGTCGGGCCTTGCCTTTTGATCTCAGGTCGGGCGGGATCACCTGCCCAATTTAAGCATATAACTAAGCAGAGGAAGAGAAACCAACGAGGATTCCCTTGGTAGCGGCGACGAACCGGGAATAGCCCAGACTGAAAATCCGGGGGCTGTGYTGCTCCCTGAATTGTAGTCTTCAGAGGAAACCTCTGCAGCGGGCAGTGTGCAGGTTCCCTGGAAGGGGACGCCGAAGAGGGTGACAGCCCCGTCGACCGCCGGACCCTGCTGCGCGACGAGGGGTTGTCCAAGAGTCGGGTTGCTTGGGAATGCAGCCCCAATTGGGTGGTAAGTCCCGTCCAAGGCGAAATATGTGCGAGGGACCGATAGCGAAGAAGTACCGCGAGGGAAGGATGAAAAGAACTTTGAAAAGAGAGTTAAAGAGTGCTTGAAATTGCCGAGCGAGAAGCGGATCGAGGGGAAGTCGTGCGCTCCCGTCTGGGCAGGGGTAGACGGCGACTGTGTTGTCGCCCCCCTTGTTGGACGTGGGGTGCCTGCCAGCATGGGCTGCTGTGACCGGCATTGCGGTGGGGAGCGATTGAAACCCC